AACATCTCCCCCCATTTCCAACACATTCCCCAAAGCTGGTTTTTCCCACTAGGCAAAAATTGCTTCCCACCTCATAATGAATCCATTCCAGCACAAAACTGGATATTACATGGCAGAGAGGCAAAATCGTGGGACACTGAGCCATGAAAGTTTTCATTTGAAACTCATTAATAAAGAAATAGCATATTGTGATTATCTCCCAGAAGAGCTGACTCTGAAAACTTAATTCTGGCATGTTTAAAGAAAATTTTTACTGTTAGGTTTAAATGTGATTAAAATTCAATATATCATCTGGCACATCTTTACAGTGCTTGATCTTGGGAGATTTTAATGGGCTGAAAATGCTGCCAAGCTCCAGCTATAAAGTTTCCATCCTATTTCGAAATGTGCCACTCTTCCCTAAAGCTGCAGAACTGTTTCCTGAAGCTATATTTTATATATATATGTATTATATGTATTCAAGACCTGTTAGCCATTGCTGTTCAGTAAAAACATAATTTTCAATATGTATTTTAAGAAAAAACAATAGTAAGACAGTTTAAATCAGAAAGAATAGAACCAACTTGGAAGGGAGCTGGTTTTACACAGCTAAGAAATGTGAAGTATTTACATATTTCTCCTACTGTCCAAAAGGTAGCCCAAGAGGAAAAACCAGCAGGAATTTAAAGTGCCAGACTTCAGAAAGGAATCAGTGCTGTCCATACCCCATTTCTGTCTCCAGATTGCACATTGGTCCAGAACTGAGGCCAGGATGACAAATTCAGTGGTAAAAGGGAAATCTGTTACCTTGGCACTATCTGGTAAACTCAATTGCATCCATGTTTCTCTCCAAAAAAAAGGCAATTTTCCAAAGGGTTTCCATGTATTGGCACCCCAGGGCCTCACTACTGAATCTGCTACCCAGCATCTCCTCCCCACGTTTTTGGGAGGAGAAAAGCTGGGCATTGCGGGCAGCACTGATAATTAACACGGACAATGTTTAATTAAAGCTCTCCATTCCCAGGGGAAAGTCCTCTGGGGAAGCAGAGGTGTTTGCTGGGGCTGAAGGAATTCAGCATGGTTCAGAAGGGTCTCAGCAGCATTTGGAGGAGCACAAGAGGGTTGGATCCCTGGTTTTGTATCTCTCATGGTGCCAGGCACTTCCTACAAATGAGGAGTTATCTCGCTCTGGAGGGAAATTTAAAACTACTGAGAAGTTCATGAAAATGGCTCCAATCTGTACAAAATCACATCCTCTGAAGGCTCTGTGGGAAGATGAACAAAGCCAAGGTCACTCCTGATTTACCCCAGCAAACCCCACGGTTCTTCCCAGCCTGTAACGCCTGCAGCCTCTCCACTCATCCCTGATTTTAGGCAGGACCAGGAGCTCTCCCTGACCCTGGATCTGTCAGAAATGCCCTGGGCACTCCCAGGTCACTCAGGTTCTGCGCTGCCTGTGGGCATTTAGAGCCACAAAAACTTCCTGGCAGTGAAGGACAAAGTGTCACAGCACCGATCATCTTAACGAAAGGCAAAGCAAAAGAGCTTGTCCAGACTAAATTGATTTCTCTACTTGTTTTTCCTTGGATCTCTCAGAAATGCTGTTACTGAGTGGCTTCACACCTTCAGTCAGAGGTTCAGGTAATGCCAGTTCAATCCCTCCACCTCCATCAAAGTCATGCTGGAGGAAATCAGAAATATTACCTTTACACAGTGGCTGGAGGACATGGGATGCTTGGTAGCTCCATGAGCAAGTTTGAGACTTTATCTCTGGTTTTACCGCCGAGTTTTGGGTCAGGGCATCTTTATTTTAGTAAGGTGTGCTAGGAAATCCTGCAGGGAAATCCTTGGCTGTGTTTGTGGCTACATGGGATGAACTTAACAGGTTGATGAATTTAATGACTGAAGAAGTGGAACACTCTCAGCACACGGCTGCGAGCCGGGTGGCCCTGAGGTCCCTGAGGCCACAGGTGTGTCCCCATGGTCACAGATGTGTCCTCAAGGCCACAGGTGTGTCCTCAAGGTCACAGATGTGTCCCCAAGGCCACAGGTGTGTCCTCAAGGCCACAGGTGTGTCCCCGAGGCAGCTGTGGAGGCACAGCCCCAATTCCCAGGGGATGAGCAGTGCCTCCAGCCTGGGGTGCCCCTTCCTGCCGGGCACCGCTCCTCTCCTGGCCACAAAGGCTGCTGGCACCGGCCTGGGGGAGCTGCTCTGCCAAGCTGCTCCCTGCAGCTTCCTCTCACACAGGACAGGCAGCTCCACTCCAGCTCCTTCCCAGGGATTTCACTCCGCTCATGCAAAACGTTGTGGCCAAAGCACATCCAGTAATTCAGCTGTGAACGCTCAGAGCGGGTTTTATGTGTGTGTGTGTGTGTGCAAATGTGTGTGCAAAAACACGTGTGCACTTACTGGGATGGAGAATTCCTTCCATCTCCCATTTTATGATACACAGGAATGGTATTTTTAAAGTATAAGTAGTGGACAAAGGGATCCTTGACATAAACATTCCTCAGCCAAAAGAGGAAGTTTACTTAGATAGGAATATTTATAGGAGTGAGAGCTTGAGCATCAAGTCCAAACATTGTAACATAAAATTATCTTCAGTATTTGAGTAAAAAGTAGTTAATATCTGTAAAATACATCTAAGAAAGGAGTAAATATGAATCTGTATCATCAGAATGGCTCCCCTATGAATGAATATATTCATCAAGGTGGCCCATACTGAACACTTTGAGTTTCCTGTATGTAAAATTGTTCATTTTGGAAAACTTTTACGTTAAGCCTGTTGAAAAACTGTCACTTTCTCCTGCACAGCTAAATGCACACTCATTTAGTTGTAGCACAACTTTTATTTCCTTTCTCTCCTTAAGCACCCCCAAGCATGTAATGCCTGGTGGAGGTACCTCCATGAAACCCCTGAACACAGGCAGATTAAAAACCAATTTAACTCATGGCCACAAACAGAGCTCAGAGTTTGTCATGGCCACAAAGATTTTCTGTCAGGGCATAAAAGCAATGAATCAGTATGCAGAAGGTATTGCCTGCCCCATAGAGATGCTAATTCTGTGGCACTTTGGAAACTCATGTTCTACATTTACTCTTCACACCCCATGGAGCTTAACCAGCCTTAGCCCGAGCTAATGAAATCAAAAGGCTGCAAAATGACACATTTTCTCAAAATGTCCCATTTTCTCATCCCCCTGCGGCCTAATTTTGGGATCTTTAGGTTCTTTCTATGAGTTGTTTGACAACCACGGCGCTGCCCGGCTGTCACGAGGCACAACTGTCCCAAAAGGGAGCTGCTGTAGCCAGTTTACCTGCAGAAAATAAGGGACCATCGGTTCCCTGCTCCAGAAAATGACAGAAAACCCCAAGAATAAATTCAAGAGAGTATAGAATAGCGGAACAAAGCTCAAAAGTTGCAGCAAGTTAGAACTGGGGACTTACTTTTTGTGGTCCTTTGGTTTTTTTGTTGTTTTGGTTTGTTTTTTTTTCCCTGAAGTGCTATAAAAATGTCTATATGGGCAGTTTACACATTGCAGGCATATTTAGATAGAATATTTTATATCTGGAATATTTTATATATAGCAGATAGAATGCTTTATATGTAGGAGATAGTGGTGTAAATATAGCAGTAGATATTGGAAAGCTCAGGTATTCTCTAAGTTAGGACCTCATATACAAATACATCAAAATTGTCAAATATGTAAAATAGATAAAACATGTAAAATACATAAAATATGTAAAATAGATAAAACATGTAAAATATATAAAATATGTAAAATAGATAAAACGTGTAAAATATATAAAATATGTAAAATACGTAAAATATGTAAAATACGTAAAATATGTAATGTATATCATATAAAAGGATAATATAAAAACAAAACATAGAAAAGATAATATATAATATATATTATATTAAAAATATATCAAATATAGATGATAAAAGTAAAATATATAAAATGTAAATATAAAAATTATAATATAATATAATATATATAAAGTATATAAAATATATAATATACTCTGTGTATAAAATATATAGACTATACAATATATAATATACAATATACAATATATATTATACTCTGTATATAAAATATATAGAATATACAATCTATAGTATACAATCTATAACATAAATATACATTTTATAATATATAGTATATTTAATATGTAATATATAATATGTAATATATAATATGTAATATATAATATGTAATATATAATATGTAATATATAATATATAATATATGATGTATGATATATAATGTATATTGTATAAGATTAAATATATACTATATACGATATTATATTATAGTATATATTATATTATATTATATTATATTATATTATAGTATAGTATAGTATATTATATTATAGTATAGTATAGTATATTATATTATAGTATATATAGTATATTATACTATTATAGTATAGTATATTATATTATAGTATAGTATATTATATTATAGTATAGTATAGTATATTATATTATAGTATAGTATAGTATATTATATTATAGTATATATTATATTATATTATATTATATTATATTATATTATATTATATTATATTATATTATATTATATTATATTATATTATATTATATTATATTATAGTACAGTATAGTATAGTATATTATAGTATATTATAGTATATTATAGTATATTATAGTATATTATATATACGATATTATATTATAGTATATATTTATATTATAGTATAGTATAGTACAGTATAGTATAGTATATATATATATATAGTATAGATAGTATATTACGATATAATTATATTATAGTTATATTATAATTAAATAATGTATATTGTATAATGTATAATATATACAAAGCATATCGAATATAACAGCCAGAATAACTAATATCTCTAAAACACATAGACTCTCCACACTCTATGGAAAGAAGCAGAAGCGGGTAAATGCCCAGCCGCTCTGCAGCCCAGCGGCGGGAGCGGGGCGCTGCGTTCCCCTGTTCCCCGGGGCTCGGGGGGCACTCACCGAGGGCAGCATCGCACAGCAGCTGCTGCGGGTGCGCGGGGGCGCAGCTACAGGCGCTCAGGGCTGCGG